ATATTCGTTACATGATTTTTACTACATGATTTTCTATATATGATTTCTATATTTACTATTATTCCTAATTTTCTGTTGTTCATTACCAACTCTGTATTTGTGTATTTGTTTATTATTTATTGTTTACTATTTATTATTTAATTTCATTCCATTGTATTAATTCTTACTTACTTCCGAATTTGTTATATTTACTTTTACTTCCGTTATATTAATTCTTTCTGGTTTTCCTTAAGATATTAATAATAAATTTTCCTTCTCACTTTTTCGTACTTCTGTCTTTCTTCCGTACTTTGTATTACTACTAATTTCTGTTCTTCTTCTGATTTTCGTTTCGTTTATGATGTCATGTGTAACCTTTATATTACACAAGCTTTCATGTAGTCCAGTTTGTCGTTCCTATCGTATGTCTTTTGTGTAATCTTCTTGCATCCTCATGTAACTTCTTCAATTGTTATTTTTTAAATATTTTCCAAGTCTTTTTATAAGACCCTCCCTCCGTCCGGTTGATTAATTATTCTTTTTCCTTGACTCTCCGTCTGGTTGATTAATTATCCTTTTTCCTTAACCCTCCGTTTGGTTAATTAATTATCCTTTTTCTTTCGGTAACTAATTTATCTGAATTATTTTCTTCTGTGATTCATCCGTTTCATGTAATCTTCCTTTTCGGTCTGTAAATTATCTAAGTATTATTCTTTTCTCTTAATAAAATGATTATTTCTCTTTTATCATATAACTTTTTCTTGTAACTTTTCACGGTGTATTATTGATCATTTCTTTTTGTATTGCTGCGCCTTGATTAATGAAATTGTTGACTCTATAATGTATCTAATACACCTGATAAACAGACACTAGCTGATATAATGATAATGCTCTATATCTACTTTTCTGAAATTAAGACTTGCATATATCTAATAGAGGTGTAACTGGATACGCAAAAAACTAAAGCCAACAGGATATTTCTCAGGTGTTTAAATCACTGGAAAAGAACAAAAAGCGAGCAAGGTAATTACTTACATAGATTCAGAAAGCAATAACTTCTGAAAAGTTAAAGGATCCAGAAAAGCTTAGATCTACATACTTAAGTTCAATTTTGAAAAAAGATGAATATATTCCTAAGTCATATAAGCTATTACTTTCTAGTTCTTTATGCAAATTAGGAGCAGTATTTGCTTCTGTGAAACATAATCCAAAAAATCCATCAAATGTTAATACTTATGCCAGTGAAGCACTTCGATATAGTCCTGACAACTATACTGCTCTATCTGATATGTATACTATAGTTAATTATAGAAGGAGAGGACAATCTTATGATCAAGCAGGTCTATTCGACATTTTCAATGAAAACTAATCACATATAATGTATGGATTAGAGGATTGGGGTATTCATTTATTAATTTTTTTTTATTTGAAGCAAGATATGTTGTATATAATATATCACGAAAATGATAACTGAACAAAAACATTCATCTAATAGTATATCTAACGAGCTGGAAGTTATCAGATACACAGAAAAATTAATCAGGATATTTGGACTAGACGAACAAAATGCATATATGTATAGTGTGCTTTCCAGTGAAATAGAGCACTAAAGAAACAATTAAAAGATTATCATACCTAATATAATACTTTAGAAAGAAGGTTAAAATGGTTAGAAAAGATGTGAAATCCTTTAAAATTAAATTAAAAGATCTAGACGAATGTGTAGATAGGAAAACTATAGTTGACTTAATACAAAAAATAGCTTTCTCACCAAATATTAGAAAATGTAAGAGTTTCTCCTATTCTGATTCAGTTAAGATAATTAAAAGATTCCAAAGGTATCAGGTAGAAGAGGTTATTCCTTATAAGCAATGAAGAAAGGTATGATGAAGAAAGGTTAAACAGTTTATAGTTTGAAGTAGTGATCACTTGATGTAGTAATCATCAACTTAAAGAATTTTTTTTATTAAAAATATGATATTTTATCCTTAATCATAATAATGGGAAGATTTGGAGATATGTCTATAAGAGATACTATTAATTGGGTAGATCAGTCATCCCCTCTAAGCTCTACAGTTTTAGAACCTAATAAGAGTAAAGAAATTTCACTACCAGTCCAGCAAGACTAATCAGTAAAAGTACATTCTGATGTAATAAAACTATATACTTCAGAAACAGATATAGGCTTGCAAAGCGAAGAGCTTAAAAAAGTTTTCTTTGATAGTTTATTACTCAACAATAAAAAGCACGCAATCAGATTCAGAACTGAGAGACCCTTGGATGAATTGGTTGAATACTTAGTTAAAATAACATCTTCTATTCCTCTACGAGGACATCCATGAGGATTGGAGTAGAGCGATGATTCAGTAGAAGATTTTTATAAGAAGCACAAGGAGTATATAAAGTTTTTAAATGAATGAAAGAAAGTGTAAAGATCAATTTATTTGTGAATACTTATCTGCAAATCAGTTCGAAGTAAGATTATGTGAATTAGATCTTCTATTAGATGAACTAGTAAATAGACTGGTTAAACTTAAAGCATTAGAAAGACATACTAACTAATTTATTTTATTTTTTCGATTAAAGATACAGCATATACTATTTATGACGCATACAAGTGTTTTTAATATAATAGAACTACTAGAAAAGATTTTATATTTTTTAGCAATAGATAAATCCCTCTATCTTGCTTTATTCATTTGCTGATTTTGGTACAGATGTGGTGCCTCTATTCTATGGAAATGCATAAAGCTAAATGGTGTTGGGATGATTGAACTCAATTAAAAAGATTTTTAAAAATAGTATATGGGAAAGACGTAAACCAATTTATAGCTTGAAATTAACTCATATTAAAATATCAAACTACTGGCTTTCAAAAAGAAAAATCAAAAGCATTATACTCAAGTTCCAAAATATAATTCATTTAGATTTTGAAGGAAGTATGGAGCCTGAGTTAGTTGGGAAAGTTTTAAAGTTAATAGCAGAATCATATCCAAATTTGGAATATCTTAATATATCTATTTTAGATAATTTATTTCAATGGAAAATTGATAAAGGTCTAACTGCAATCGCAGATTCATATCATAAATTAGAATGTCTAAATATTTCTAATCATACAGAGTTTTCTGAAATATCAATCTGCAATGTTATTCGTTCTTGTCCAAAATTCTAATAACTTGATTTTAGCTATTGTAAAATTATTGATATAACTATTGAACAAATTGCTAAATCATGTCTAAATTTAAAATATCTAAATCTAAGAGGGTGTTATAAAATTAGCAAAGAAGCAATAGATCAGATCAGCTAAATCCAAATACCTATATTAAGAATTTTTGAGATGTGATTAGTATTCGAGCTGATATAAAGCAAGTGATAGAGCTAATATCAACATGACCTCTAGTTGCTAATATTAGAACTCAGTTTCACTAGGCATTCCGATAACCTAATTTCAATATATCTATAACAGTTGACTCTGATACTGATCACCCCATTATAGCTATAAACAGATAAACACTGACTCAAAGTATCATTTCTACCTTAATGTCAAGATCTATTGATAGATTACTTGATGATCAAGCCAGATGTTGAAACTATACCTATTTAACTAATCTGAAGTGATGATTATCAGATTGGAAGATTTTTTTGCTGAGTCACAGATTGCGATAAAAAATAAGTAGATCATCAGTCAGGCCTTGTATGATATCTTAATTTTCACATATATCAAAAAATATTTATGCTAATCTATACCTTTCTTTATTTTTTCTAATTGAAATTATTCTAATCTATAAAATGTATAAAGCTAATTTACTTAATCAGCTTACGTCTGAATTAATACCCTTTATTTTAAAGAATTTATCAATATGGATCTCTATAATTGTAATAGTATAAATGAAATATGGAAAAAAAAAACAGTCTCAAACTGTTTAAAAGACCCAAAAGAGAACAATTTCTATATCGAGATCTTATATTTGAAAAGTTATATTACCAGCCTGAAGGTTTTTATCAAATTGCTGAAAAAATATGAGATGTTTACAAGAAGAGGTCTCTCTAGGATCTGATCAGATATAAGTTTACTCTTGTAGAGATCGAAAATTGGTTAAGCAAACAGGTCATATATCAGATACATAAGCTACTGCCAAAATTTGTTTGTCCACCCTGATTAAGACTGATTCAGAATATAGTGAGACTCTCTAAATACACCATCTATAAATGTACACACTCTTTAAATGCATGCTTTAGTCTGATCTCAAGCTTGGGACTTAAATGCTAAATGCATACTTTATGTTCTGCATGTACAATAAGTTTTCTAGTCCTTTCATATTACAAATTTATTTTCTAAACACATGTCATGTGACATAAAATTAAAATTTGATTCCAATTAGATGTATAATCCAAAATAAACATATTGATCCTTACAATTCAGTCAATTCATTAAATAATAAACAGATCTGCAATATTTAAAAAAATGATAATTGAACAACGGTAACAATACAAATATAATGTAAATTTTCATTAGACAAATAAAAAAGGATCCAAATTATTATCATGCTTGGCAGTAACATGACTTTTATTTATTGTTTATTAATGTATAATTAGATCAACTGTTAAAAAAAATTATGATATAATCACATCTCTAATCATATTAAATCATTAGAATATTAAAAAAAATTTTTTTAAAATAATTGTAGCTTTTCAAGTCTGAAGATAAGTCCTATAGAGAAAAAAGTTAATTAATTTGATTTTATAAAAAAAATTAATTTAACTAACGGAACTTACTTTTTTGTAGTTCTTTAAGCCTTTGATCAGAATTTTTCAAGTCCAGAGATAAGTTTATAGAGGAAAAATCAATTAATTTGATTTTATTAAAAAAAAAATAATAAACTTACAAAACTTACCTTTTTGTAGTTATTTAAGCCAACAAATCAAGTCTGAGGTAAGTCCTATGGAGGAAAAAATCAATAAATTTGATTTTATTAAAAAGAAATAAAAAACTAATGAAACTCACCTTTTTGTAATTCAAGCCTTTGATCAGAATTCTTCAAGTTTGAAGGTAAGTTCTATACAAGGAAAATTTTGTTTAATATTATTTTTTTTTAACAAATAAATAACTACAACCTCATTAATTTATCATTAGCTCTATTACCAAAAAGAAGTATCAGAACCATCACATTACCACAGTATCATAGAATAATTAAATCATATCTTTAAAGATGATTAGAATAACTAAATCAATGTATCATTTTAAGGATTATTAGCATC